AAATTTGCCTTTCTTCTTCTTTTTCTTTGAAAATCTTTTTAATTGCAATAACTTTCAATATTTAATTCATGACGGAAAGAACAAAAAAAAAAAAAAAAAAAAAAAAAAAAAAAAAAAAAAAAAAAAAAAAAAAAAAAAAAAAAAAAAAAAAAAAAAAAAAAAAAAAAAAAAAAAAAAAAAAAAAAAAAAAAAAAAAAAAAAAAAAAAAAAAAAAAAAAAAAAAAAAAAAAAGCAATATAGAATTTGAGTGTTTGTTAATGCACCGTATAATTATAAAATGTAAAAGTGGAGATAAGAAAGAATAAATTGATAAAAAATTGATGCACCCCTCTCCACTTGCAGAAAGTATAATATCTCACCAAAACAACACATCAATAAATTGTAAGGTTAAAGGTCGTGACTCACTAGGAGAAAACAAATTGTTGTTTTTTTCTTTCTTCAATTCAAAGGCAGATAATTACATTTGTGGGTATCAACAATGATATTTAAGCAGAGCTGGACCAAATGAAAAATGAATTAACCATGGTAGCAAAACTGGTTTATCTTTCATAATCAAACCACACAAAACAGTACAAAAAAAGAAGTAATGAATAACTTGACAATGTAAATTAATCAGCTCTCAAAACACTCTGCTGTACCTAGAAAAATCAGGCAGAATTGAGTTGTCCCCCCTGTTCATGCTAACATCAATTTCATCATAATAGCACATCTTAATCAATGTCTTCATTAATCCATTTGAATTTTTATTCTAACCAATAAAATAAAACATGATAAGCTGCTTGATCAGATTAGCAACATTTGTATGATTGTATTCTCATATATCTCATGAATGAACTTTCAATAGACTATAACTTAAAATTCCACAATTATTGAAATGATTAATTTTTGCAGAATGTACAAAACTAACAATCTAAAAATAATTATTACGCATTAACAAAATTATTACTATGAAATTGAAATATGAAACAAGAAAATTGCCATTGAAGCTTGTTAGTGGTTAATTTTTCCACATGATTATTTGTGAAGCATTTTTCTAGTTTATGATCTTTTAGAAAGTTTTAGCACAGGTTCCCAAAATTGTTCAACTTGGGACTCCATTTTAAAGAGTGAAATAACCTGCCATCCCATTTTATAGAATAGAAATCACCTGCAGCCATGATACATTTAATTTAAAAGGGTTTTAAACAGGTTGACAGATGTCACATCAAAAGTATTTTCTCAATACAATTTAATTCAATATAATTTTAACATAGGTTAAATGTGATTGTGAATTATTAATTCCAATTTGACTCGCTTATTAAAATTTAAAATAAAATAAATATTTTTTTTAGATTACCATTTCAGCTGGGGGACCACGCAGAAAACACGCAGGGTCGCGACCCATGGGTTAGAACCTGTGATTTAATAAAATCTCCTCACTACAATCTGGCACGTCATTTATTTAATTAATCATTTAATTATTTGTTGACATTCGACGCCATTTTTACCCAAATCATCATTCCAAATGGAGAAAAATTATGTATAGTAACAGAAACCTCACTTGATCGACAAAATAACACAAAAAAGTCAAAGAATAATATTGTACAAAATTTCAAAAATGACATTTCTGGCAAAATAGTCAAGTAGGTACGTCATATAACATTTTTTATACAATTTCTCTCAAAATTCATTTAGCAATAACAAAAACAATTCTTTAAATATCATTATGTACTGTATTTAGTTAACTATATAAAGAAAATATGTAAATTAAATTTGATTAAAGGACCATTTCGTCCCATCTACTTCATAAACTATTTATGATGTAGAAACCCACTGTAGAAAACCATATTAGAGGGCGTCCAAAGATTCCTCGGGATGGGCAGAAGGAGATATAAGGACCTAAACGCACCATACCGACCCTTGACTGCTAAGGGGCCATCCATTAAAGACGTCCACCAATTTTTTGCTATTTTTTACCTCCCCTCCCCCTTTGTCCACTTTTGACTTGACCACCACCCACCCCCCCCCCCCCCCCCCCCCCCCCCCCC